CTCTGCAAAGTTAGTTAGTTAATGGGCCTCGTAAGCTGAGCTAAACAGGCCCATCATCCAGTCTGGTTTTTCACAGTCAAAGGCCAAGCCTGATCTTGGTCCAGCCTGATCAAAGCCCAAGCCTAGCCTGGGTCCAGCTCTATTGGAATTGAAAAATATATATTTATATTAAAGAAGTATTTTTGAAATATTCATCTGACATCCATCATCCTGTTATGTTTGCAGTTTAATGATATATTAAACACAATCTTCTCATCACCTCCGACTGTGGCAATGATTGTCGGGACACTGCTTGATAACACACTTCAGGCAAGATACGCAATTGATGACAGAGGACTTCCATGGTGGAAACCTTTCCAGCACAGAAAGGGAGACGTTAGAAACGAGGAGTTTTACAGTCTTCCGCTGAGGATAAGCGAATATATCCCCACCAGATTCCTGTGAGCATAACCCACGTACCTGTTGTGTGTGATTAGCTATTATATAGTTTTTGGGCAAAATTGTTACCATGCATGATGAGGTATGTTTCATTGCATTGCTGTGATTGATTGAGCTGATGTAGGACTAATTTTGCCCAAATTATGAGAAGGGTTTTCCCTTTCTTCTCAAGAAAAATGAATCTTGATGGTGGTGTGGTGGGGACAGACTTTGAAGGAGGAATAATTAGGGCACTTTTATGGCACATGAAAAACAAAATACCACAAGCACTCTAGTGCATCGATGGCGAAGACAGTATGGTTCGGGTTCGGATCTTTTTTGCTCTCATGTAATTGTTGCACTAAATGTTTAAAATATTATTTATTTGTTTAACAAATTTTAAATATATACCTTGTGCTTTATACTATTTTATTTTGTTTGATAATTTTCTCCCTGTTCTCTAGTTGTTTTACTTGTGAAAATTATTTACTTAGGTTTATAGGTTGGTATTTATTTATGTTGTCGATACATTTGTTGTCTGCCATTAGATCCAGAACGTTGGTCATCATATTATTGAATATTGAATATCTTTTTAGATTAATTAATATGAAATATTTAATGTTCAAAAACCATCTTGAATAAATCCAGCTGATGTTCTGAAGCATGTAGTGAGTCAGGAAGGAAAATCTTTTTTTTTTTTTTTTTTTTTTTTTTCTGGAGAAAAAGAAAGGAAGGCTTACAGAAATTTCCCCTTCCCCCAGGAAATTACTATCGTCTGGAGGAAAGGGGGGCAAGCAGAAAGAAATGTGTACATGTTTATTTACCTGATCCTCGGAGTTACATAAACAAATTAATTTATAAATAATCAAGATTCGTTAATGTTATAATTCAAAAGAGTAAATAATCATTAGCAAATAAATGGAATATATTGATAATTTTCTGTAGAAATTACGTGTACCAAAATTGAAAATTACAAAAAAAAAAAATCAACTAGAACACAGAGCAACAAGCATTAAAAGAGAACAACCTCCTTATGATTGATAATGATATAAACTAGTGCTATGTTAAAGTAAATAGAGAAAAAATTCACTGAGCACATAACACTAAACAAAAAAAAAAAAAAAAAAAGTAATGGAAAATAAAATTAATGGCATAAACCAAGGAAAACAAACTTTTAATTTCACGAATATCTCGTAATCTAACATGTTTCCAGCAGTGTTACTTACAAAAAAAATAAAATACAAATAATACGAGTTGATTTTTCTTAACTTTATGTCTAAACAGTTTCGTAGTAACAATATATTAATATTTTAACAAGCTAAATAAAAAATAAATATTGAATGCGAGAATATATACCTGATTTTCATCATTTGAAATCTATAGGAACTAAACAAAAGTGAACATATCAATTTGTAAATAACCATGATTTTTCTACATTATAATTCAAATGAAAGAGAGCTATTAAAAATTGTACGTAGCATATGCATAGTTTCGCATTGAACAACGGATATCAAAACTTAAAATGAAAAGAAAACGACTAAAATAAAAAAGAATAAACACTGAAAGAGGAGAATTTTATTTTCCTTTGCTTAACATTAAAAATGACCTTACACTAATTTTTTCAATTTAGTCATTTCAGCTCATGCGAACATAATACTGTTTCTTTTGTTATTCCCAAATGTTAAAAATGCCATATGCTTTTTATGGGATGATATTAGTGATTTTCGTCGGTTTTTAATTGTAGTTTTAGTTCATTTATCGCAATTTTTCTTTATCGCATTTGAGATGTTTCTTTGTTGGAAAAGTTGAAGAGTTAAATATGATTTTTTTTAGTTTATTTAAATTTGTGATTGTATTTGAGTTTATTTGTAAATATATTTAAATTTTGTAGTACACATGGTTGAAATTTGTTTGGTTTAATTTGTTGTAATTTCACTTGTGTTGGTTGTGCGTTTATTTGTTTGGAATGATATAATATTCAGTTGGATATTTCTTTTAGGTTATTTAGATTTCTAGTAGTACTTGAGTGAGTTTGGAATTGTATTCTAACTTCAGTTTCTAATTATAATTTGTTTGTTTTGACTTGTTCATATCGATTTAGTTTGATGCACTTTTGTTTCTTTTTTGTGTTTAGATTTGTTTGGTTAATTTTGAGTAAATTTGTTGACTCCTAAATTATTTTTGTTAACTGTAATCACACTCCTATAAATCTATGTTTCAACTATTTTAAAATAGGATAATATTAAAATCTTCTAAAATTTAATGTAATCGAAAGTACAGAGAGATAATGCCCTAACTCTTTCAGACTCCATCAAAAAATTAAAAGAAAAAACTACAATGGGATAAAAAAATATAATTAAACTGAAAAATATATATTAGAAAATAAAATTTATATCATAAGGGAAGGAAATTAAACAGCTTATTCACGAATATCTCATAAAACACAGCAACTCATAGTACCAAACCACTGTATAGACCAGCTTCAAAATTCTGATTACCACTTCAGTAAATGCAACCTGGTTAAAAATACCGAAGAGACAATAGAAATCGTGGACCAAGTAATCGTGCAATCGAAAAAGACGGGTTCCTACCATCACCATTATTTACCGTGAAATTGATAAGAAAAAGGAATGCAATTGATCTTAGTTTTAGAAGACATGAAAATGAAAAAACTATTCTGGAAATTCTTTTTTTTTTTTTTTTCAGTATCCTTCAAAAGACAAAAAATCAACAAGCTAATAGAAACCACCATAATTGTAATTGTTATTATGAGAAAGAAAAAAAAAAAGGCTTTCCAGTGACAGAAGAGCTACACTTTAGGTTATGGGCTAAAGCAGATATTAATGCATCTTATGTGAAATTGAACCATAGATCTTCTTTTCCACTAGAATGATCATTGAGTAGATCTCCTTGTTGAGCTCCATCTTGAAACTTTTTAAAACATAATGTAATAAATGATGTAGAAATAGATAGCGTTAGTAACTTTCTTTAATTTTATTAAAAAATTAAAAAAAAATTAGACTAAAAAAAAAGCAAAACTAAACAAAAAAAATATGATAAAAGAAAGAAGACAAATGTTTTATTCCACTGACACCTCATAATCCACGTCTTAAAAGAGTGCTACCAACAAAAGAGAACAAAACACAAGTGACACATCTGAACCATCTTAAAATTTTTGCCTAAAGAGTTGCACAATAACAAAATATAAAAATTTTACCTACCTAAAAAAATAAAAACACATGTTTATTTACCTTAAACAATACTCCATAAGATTGATAGTAGCCTTGATGTCCTATATTAAAGTAAACAAAAAGAATATTACTAAGTAAATAATCCTAAATAGAAAAAAAAATATCTAAAAGAAGACAAAATTTATATCATAAGCAAACGAAATAAAAATTTTATTACACAAATATCTTATAACCCAACATGTCTCCAGTAATGTTACCTACAAAAGAGAACAAAATAGAGAGAATATATAATTGAACTCTCTTTAACTTTTTACTTAAAGATTTTCATAATAACAAAAAAAGAAAATTTTAACTAGTTAAAAAAAAATATTGAATACATGTTTATTTACCTTATTTTTAACAACTAAACAAAAGTAAGCCTATTAATTTATAAATAACCAAGACTTTTTTTATGTTGTAAATTAAATGGGGAGATGGCAATTAAATGTAACATATGCGCAACTTGGAATGAAACAACGGATAACAAAACTTCAAATTATAAAAAAACAACTAAAATCAAGAAGAACAGATATTAAAAAGAACAATTTATTGTCCTCTGTATAACATTGAAAACAAACTCAAGTATTACTATGTTAATGTACACAGAAAGAAATTCACTGAGCAAATAATGATAAAATTTTTTTCAATTTATAATCATTTCAACTCATGCAAATGTTAAAAATGACATATTCGTTTTTTGGGTTGATACTTGATCTTTACTCTTTTTTCTTATCAATTTGTAAGGGTAGTTATAATTCCTTATTGTAGTTTGTCGTTTTTGTATTTGAGATATTTTTTTGCTGGGAAAGTTAAAGAACCAAATGTAATTTTTGTTTTAGTTTACTTGAATTTGTAATTATATTTGAGTTTGTTTGTAATTATATTATAATTCC